TTCTAAATCTTAGTTTTATGGCAAATATTAACACTTGTTTAGGCTAAAACCCATAAAATTCATAATTACGTAGCATAAATACAGATGTGATAAATGTGCAATGTACAAACTAACTAAATCACAATAAACAGCAGCTCCGTAACTTTATGAAGAATTAAAATTTCATACAGAAATTTGTGAGAGAATACTACTGTTCTTTCCAGAGCCAGTGTCCTACCTTCAATGGAAATTCTGGCAACATTGTAACTAAATTAAAAATTACTTTTAAAATGTATTAACAAACAATACTAATTAAAAGGAATATTTCTTTTTAACTGTAAATCTTTTATGAACAGCATTGCAACAGTATTTCTGACAACACAGACTATGTCAATCTCAAGTAATATGGCAGTTCTGCCAGCGTATGACAGGGAAGCTCCCACACAGACAAATCGTACAACAAAGCAGATACTGTTCTTACGTTGCATAACCCTGGATACCACCCCACCCATGCAATAGACCCAGAACACTTGCACTGCAGCTTAGGGTGTTATCAAGTCTTCAAAGGAGCATCTGGTTCAACTAATCTTTTTTCTACTCATTAATAAAAGAAACAAGCTGCAGTAACTCAGAGTACAACACACTGGCAACAAATAATGACCATTAACTTCATATAGTGATGAAGTTGCCAGAAAATATCACATGCTTTGGGGTTTTATACATGGTCTGTTCCCCACAATCAGAATACTTCCTGGTGGAAAACACTAGATCACTGTGGAAATAGCAATACCAAACAGTCCAGCAAAATTCAGTATACAACAGTTAAACAGTGTCCTTTTTGTTCCTTCCCCCCCCCCTTTTTTTTAAATGGAAAAACCTTTTCATAATCAACCCTAGATGAAAAGCTATTGTAAAGTGTTTATTCTAATATATTATACACACATACATTTGCACTTGCTGAAGGAGCCAAAACTGTCCACCACAAATTTCTATAAAATTGCTCAGTCCTGATAACCCTCAGCTCATTGTTCCCAGCTGGAAAGCCTGTTCTTTTTAATAACCAATTCAATAAACTGTTGAAAAATGCTTTGTATAATACAGTATTGCCATAGATCTGATGTTTGTCTCTGTCATTACATATTGCATTCAATCAATTCACAAATGTTGCTGTTTCTTTTGTGCTAGTTCTTCTCATGGCATCCTGAACACAAATCCAAAGATCAATACCTTGTCTACTGAAAAAAAATTGGACATAACAAAAAAAAAATTTTATTTATAATAAAAAGTCCTAGTCCCCAAATGGATTCTACTAATGTTCAAATTCATTTTTCATGTTTAACACAAGATGAAAGCAAGTACCCTGCACAATGCGATGAGAAAGGCAATGATAAAAAAAAACAAAAACCAGTTCATATTCATTGAAGATGTTAGCAAAACCATGTAAAGCTACGGAGTGTGGCTAGGAACACACCAATAAAATGGTAGGTCATTCACAAAGTATTTGTTATCATATTAAAGAGCAAAAAGTCCATGTCAAAGAGCAGATGTATTTTCTCTAAAAAAACACTACACTTAGGCTCTGAACTATGGAAGTGGCAAGGCTGTGAATGAAATAATTTAAGTATGAAGACAAATAGAAGCTCAGCTCACGCTGGTTGCACGAGTCAATCCAGGTCATCTTGTGCCTTTTGTGTGACAGAAACAGTGCGTTTGCTGACTATAGAGACATCCCTGCAGTATTCTGGCTATTGAATAGCTACCTGCTCTAAAACAATTATGTAGGTGTTCAAGGGAGCCACAAATGACTTATTTCACAATCCTTCTTTGTAGGATGGCAAGCTAACAGAACTTAGAGGAAACAGCGACTCTATTTTTCATAGCAAGCAACATTGGTACCTGTATAAGCATACAAATCCCAGCAAGCTTATACAATAACCAGCTCACCTCCTCTCCAGTCCCAAGCTAACTGCTAAGATGTACACTGCGTACAGTATTCCCACCTAGATTCGTGGCTCCATAACAACTCACAGGCATCAACAAAACAAAATCACGCCATTTCTGTACAAAACAGAAAATCAACATAAAAATGCATCCCAAACCCCAGTATCTCATTAATCGAGACTGTCCCCAGTACCATGCACCTGCCTGCTCTGAAATAAGACAGACAGGCAGAAGGAGCGGGGATGCCCCATCTTGCCCTTAGAACTATGTACAAGAACAGAGCAGGTGTGTACTCCTCATTTTGCCATGGGAGGTGCGTCATTTGATGTCTTCAAGCAGACTGCGGTCAGACACCTCTGAGCCTTGACCCTTTTCCTACTATGTGACAGCAAAGGGACTGGATGTGCTGAGGGGAACACACACTAATCCTGCACACTGACCATGTCTAGCAGTCCCTCTCCATTTGTCTGTGCCAAAAGAGGTGAATGAGTTTGCTGCTACTGTCACACACACACACACATATTTTAGCTTACACAGTGGAGATTCCACTTGAAGGCCAGATACCACTTACTCAGTAGTAAGACCCCAGTTACTTCCTATTCAAGAACCTACAAAAATCACTCAAAGGGATCCTATTGTGAACAGGTTCCTGAGACCAGTGTGCACCCATTAGATAGAAGTCTAATGCTGGGGCAAATGAGGCGGCTCTCTCCACGAACAGAGGAACTCCTTCCTTACCATGAATACCAAGTTCTTGCTATTCCTACTCTTGGTTGCTATTAGCACAGTTTGACTTTCAAGTGTTAAGCTGAATTCACAAGATTGGCAGCTGGAAATAAACAAAACAAAACTTTGTAATGCATTAACTGAATAAGCATTCTTTGGCACTGCTCAAATCATGAACACTGAACTCCACGAGATCATTTCGACTGAATTTTTTCCTGAGTATAGCTTTATTTTAAAACTATTACAGCAAATTCACAACTCCAACCCTACGTTCTGTTTCAAGATGGAATTTCAACCTTACTAGTTAATTAAAGCCACCACCTGGAGTGAGCTGGCTTTCAAACTGTTTTCCTTTGTCTCTCTAATTCACACACATTAATATTTTATTTTCTACTGGAAAAAAAAAATGAAAAGGAATGTCACAAGTGTACCAACGACAAGGCAGATAAAATTATTGCAATAAAACAAAGAAAATACACTTGTTACTGCCAGGTCTCCAGATGATTGCTGCATTATACAGACATTTTAAAGGCTTACAACTGCAAATTGCTCTATTTTACATACTGTATTCTAGCTTTTGCATCAAAATCATTTCTAATTTTTTCTTATTGTAACAAGAAAGGGAAAGGGTTGGGTTTTTATTACCTGAACATTTATTCAATGGAGAAACAAAGACTACATTATATATTACAACACATGAGCTATTAAAACAATGTGACACTATAAAATATGCTGCAATACTCATTATGGGATAACAAAGCTAAACCTGAGCAAATAAATGTATCTGCCAAACAGTCAGCAATAAGTATAGAACTAGAGTTTATAATCTTTAATTATGTAAGAAGGAAAGAAGCTTGTAATAATTAAGTTTTGTAGGCCTCTTAAATTGTCATTACTAGACACTCACAAAACTTTAAAACAAGTATCTTTCATCTGAAATAACTCTTCTTTATTTTTAACAACAGATGCAATTGTTTACTTAACTGATTAATTGAAAAAAAAAATCATTAACTGTTGTTTTTAAAACTTCCACAGTACAGATAACATTTTATTTACTCTCTGACCTTGATAATGCGTATACCAACGTACTGCTCTGCATCTCACAGTGACTGATGTAATGCTGTTTTAGAGAGCTTCTAAAATGTTTAATGACAAATCTGTAAGTCACATCGATTTATATCAGATACTTCAGGAACTTGAAGTTGAAAAGAACTGTACATTTAACTCACTAAAATAAATTGGTGTGATAGTAACACCTTTAAATTTTCTATAAAGTCTATGCATCTTTGCCATGCATTTATAACCAAATGATCTGACTTCTGAAACACAGACACCGTTCAAAGCAGGTGTAGAGAGAAGCTCTGTATTGAACAATTATAATCTACAGAAGTGACGGGAGGAGAGGAAGGTTCCATATTTCAAGAGAAACACATTTATGAGTTAAAAAAAAATACATTAAAGGTTACTAAAATTTAAATTATACATTAAACTATGAAAGAAACAACATAAAACTACAGCAGAACAAGAAAGCAGAACAACTCCAGACTTTCTGATTTTCCCAAAACACTTTCAGCCATTGTCTAACTGAGTTCCTATTAAAATTTTATCATGGACCTCACGGAAATGAAGTGATCAGGCTTGAGTATTTCTGAAAAGTTCCACCTCCAGCTACTGAAATCAACACAAATTACACAGCAGCACAGTATTGGCTGGAAAACACTGTGCCACACTACAAAATACACTAAGCAGCTACATTTAGCATCTTGCAGAATCAAGTTCTCATACAGTTTCTAAACTGAGAATTTTACTTACAACACGGGGCTTTATTATTTCCTCAGGAAATGTGTGCACTATACAGATGGTTTATTTAATCCATTCCTACCCAAATTAATCAAAGCAATCTGTCCCCCAAAAAATAAGAGTCTTCATACGGGATTCTGCTGCCATTTGACAAATTGTGTACATTTAGCTAAAAGTTGAAAATCTTCCATAAAGAAGTCACCACATCTAAAAATAAGCGACATCATTAAAAGGGAAGCAGGATGTGTTATTTAGCATAAGATGAAATTTAAACTGTACCACCTCAGATACACTTTAAAATGGTTTTAGTAGCACCTGGTTGTTTATACATCTTCCGTGGTGAAAAGTTCAATAGAAATTCACCTCTAAGGTCATAGTTGCTAAGCAACCGTTTTCAGCAGTTCTGCAACACCGATCAAGCGTATTACGTTCTACTGCCTGGTTTCAGAATAAACCCACGTCGCATCCTACCTGGCGTTTGAAGCGCACCAAGCTTCTCCTGCCTTTCCCAAGAGCATGGGCGCCCATCACCGAGGCGCTGCTCAAAAGGATACGCCCTGGGACCACCGGCTTCCGGTTCACGAGAGCAAAGGAGAGCTCAGTCTTCAGGAAGACCACGGATGGCTTGATGAGGTGCTGCCCAAATCTCAGCATGATAAATATTAATCTTCAGGGTCTGAAAGAGACAATAGTTAAGATAAGGGATTGATTTTGGTTTTCCAAACAGCATGAATAAGACAATCAAAATGTCTAGGCAGCTTCTGAAAGAATGTGCGTCCTGGGCTCACCAAGACATTGGGTGTTTCGGAAAGGGTGGTAAAGCTTTGGTAAAAGTATCACTTTTTTGAAGGGGTGCTGGAAAGGGTTTCTTTCCAAAACAAAAATTGTACATACACTGTCTTAAATCCTTTTCTCATCATCTTGGCAGAAGTACAAAATCTAGACAGAGAATGCCATTTCTCCCTCCAATTTTCATTTGTTCTGCATTGTATACATTTGAGTTATATGTGCTTGGAGAAACACGAATAGTATTTCACATGCCCTTTGCCACAATGCAAATCAATGCACACAGGATTTATGAAATAAAGAAACCACATTTTCTAAACCAATCTCTCGACGAAATACCTCAATTGAAGAAATACCGACAAATTAAGGAAAGCATATTTAGTCATTCTCCATCCATGCTTTCTAGTTCGAGCAACTGAACTGTGAAGACGATCAATAGTTATGTGCAATATTTTCTCTTACACTAAGAAAGCCAAAGATTTCCACTTTCATTCACGAAAATTTTCCTCCTCCTGGTGAAGAAGAAAATCCTTCTTAAATAAGGCACAACCCTAAAAGTGACTATTTTAGGTCTTTAAGCCCTAAAGTATTTAAGTATTTAATTCAATCAGAAATATCCAAGGTGCTGCAAGGCAAAATATGAAGTAATGAAGAATTTCATGTGACACAATACTTCAGACACATCAAAAGCATTACACTAATGTTACCTTGCTTGAACCAAGTGACTAATCAGAAAATTCAGTTCTGTAAGTTGCTTCAGATGGGGAAGGATACCGTTAAAGCCATGTAGGGTCTTTTTCTGCAGTTCTTTTCTTGAAAGCCTACTGTATTTAGTAAGACCCAAACTTGGGTCTTAATCTGAAAGATTTATTCCAATTTAAGGTCCCACTCCCTGTATCCGCTCCATCAAAAAGTACATGTAACAACCGCACCTAAGTGCACACACTTTGAAAGTGTCTTTAAGCAGCGCTTGTTCTTTGGAAGGAAGTTCTGGCTTTTTCAGCTGATTCCACAAAAGAACTTAACTAAACTAAATTAAATTAAGGCTAGCAGATGCATCTAGCCAGGCTTTACACCAGAAAAACATCTACAAAATTTCATATAAGATACGGTAATCAATCAGATCACTACACATTCAAGTAATAAACATTCTCTAAGCAGGCACTGTGTCTCGTTTTATTTTTGAAAATCACAGATGAAAGAAAATTCTCAAGCAGACTACGGAAGAGTGGAGATTTTAACCATCCTGTTTCAAAAGACCTGAAAAGGTTATGATCATCTTTTTTCCCCACAAAGTCAACAGAAGATTAAGTGTCTGAGAAGATGTGTCCGTTACCACATATTAAACCTGAAAATTGACAGCATACAAAAATCAAGACCCTTCAGCTACTAGAAGAATTGCTTACCAGAGGGAACACCTGCTATCTTGTGCTGATGTCTGAAAAAAAAAATTATTAGGAACTTCCATCTTCCACATTTCTCTTAAGCAGTCCATCAACTACTTCCTTACAGGGGGTTCTCTTTCTCATTAAAACATGGCAAGAACGTTTTTACATGATATGATAGAGAGACGTGGTTCTCTTCGCAATGAAGGAAATGTTTCTGATAAAGGAGCAAGCCACATTAAATATTCAGTACTATCATCCAGTGATAAAACTGTAAACTAGTAGCGCCAGTAGCTGAAAAATCAAATGTACCACCACACCTGCCGCTGCATCTAGCGATACTATGGACAGAAATAAAAGTACTACCAATCATTTCCTATTCTGCCTTCCAGGCTGCTGGTAACTAAAGCACTGTCCAGAGCCATGGAACAGACTCAACCACAGAAGGCAGCTTTAAAATAACAGATGCTTATTTTAAAACCTGATGCTTCGAAATTCAGTTTAAGGAGGCAGAGAACCTGAGATACTGGTAATCACCAGAAGTCCCCTGACTCTTTCCTGCCATAAGCAGAAAACAATAAACAATAGCAGGATAACGTTGATGACATTGGAAATAAGGCCTGCATCCCGTACTTCAACAACTCAGACTCCAGGGAAGCTGAAAATGGACGACCTAGTGCTTTCCTATTCTAATTATCTGTCTGAAATTACTAGGGGCTCCTATGGGTCTTGCCAGTCCAATGGTGACTCTCAAAGTCACTGTTAAAAATAACCAAAGCCCAATCTGAAGTGTACAAGGTGAAATTCTTGAAGTTACAGAATGGGACAAATACTGATAATTACAAGAACCAAGGTTAAATTTGCGTTATGGGTTTCACGTTAAGGGCAAGGGCATCCCCCTAGGTAAAACTCCTGCTAAATCAAAACATCACTGCAGGTAGTGGATTTGGGACAGACAAGGACCATACTGGAGAGTTGATAGGCAATAAAAAATATTTTTATTTGAACACGAAATCCAATATGAAGATCTTTTCTTCTAGCTTAAACATATAAATATCCTAAATATTCTACTACATATCTAAAAATTCTACTGTCCTACCCAATATCCTCCTATCCATACAATAAAAATGTATTTCTCTCCCCCTTTAACACTGAAGATTTGGAATCCTATTTAGATTTAAGAGCAGACTATTAATCTAGCTTTAAAACCTCCACTTAACATCTGCATACAAGAGATGTTCAATTAATGGGAAATCCTGAGTGTTCAATATCTCCAAATGGGAAGTATTAGTACCAAAAGCAGTGAGTAGTATGTACCAGAATGATGTAACAGAGCCCAAATTTCAAAACTGACATCTGGGTTTACCTGAAGTCGAACAGAGTGCTGTAGCCACTAGGTACTGCTCCAGCAGGCAACCTGTGGCAGGCAGGGAAGCAGCAGAATCCCCTGGACTCCAGAAGCTCATTCACAACTGGAAACCAAGGCCATGACTCTACAGATCGTTAGATCATCACAGACATTTTCTGTAACCTCCAGTGAACCTATGGAGAATATGTCTGCAATCCACAGTAACACTATAAAGGAGAAAGGGTCTCTTTGCGATATTCACCATCACCTGGACTATATCAGTTACCGACCATAATTTCACCACTGGACTGTTTTTATTAAAATTAACCCCAAGCTGTATTGGGAAAAATATATACCTACAGGCCCTATCAGAACAATGCCATATATCCTTTTTCATACTTCAAGAGAGATTTTTCAAAGAGATTTTGTCAGTTGAGTTGACATCCTGTATAAATACACTCAACATTTGCCAAAATAAACATAAACAACTTTATTAGCCACAGAGTTTGGGTCACAATTGCTCTCTAATATTGATGGGTGTTTCAATGCTTTAAAAACAATACATAAAATGCATTTTCAGAAAATGCTAAAAGGATCCATACACAGATTCTGTGCACCACAGAACTTATGTTGACTACACCCTGTATTCACAATACACCTACCACATGCATCACTGCTTATTTCACTACCATCTTAATAGTCCAGAAAGTATCAGTAAAGTAAAAGCACTGGCCTCACACCTCCCTAAGCAATAGTTTGAATAATCAGGTTACAGCCCAACTGGGTTGACCTCGAATTATCAGAACATTTTTAAATCTCACGCACAGAATTAATGCATGTATTAAAACCTTTTCTATTTGCTTACTATACAACAACATATTTGAATAATGTATTTCTACCTCTTGATTCAGACTAAATAAATATAGCATGTGTTTCCAACAAGTGTGCCAGTCACACTGGATACGCTATGTAATACTACAGACTTCCGAGGGCTGTTCTCTCCAATTCTGAAAGGGGATCATGGGAATTTTTTTTCTTAAACAATTATTCATGATCTATTATATGTTACTTAAACCGTTTTCTGCTCTAGTGATCCTCTATGTTTTTGTGTAAAGCACAATCGTCTGTGCTCAGAACCAATACAAACACTAAAAAACACATTAGAGAAATGAGTAATGGGTCCAACTGAAAAATCCATGGCTGCACAACAACGCACTGCAGCAAGGCTGCAATATTCCAGCGCGCAGCAAGGTAGGAAACTGCTACCAGCAGAGCAAGTTTTCAGCCACCTGAATTCTACCTGCTTATCTCTTGAATGTCCTGTAAACAAGCAGAAATCAATGCAGTACAGGTGCATGCATGCAGGTCATGAGATGCAAACAGTGTGTGCACAAGGTTTGCCAGCTGATTGGAATCACCTCACTAAGTCTGTTCCTCAGGGGATTTCCATTTTTCACATAATGAGGAGGTCATTGCCAGCTAAAACAGAAGCTAAGTATAATTGGTGAAAGATGTGTCTTCTTTAATGATAGTACTCTTTCTAATCCCAGTAATAAAGAGGACAATTACATAGTAATGTTAGAAAATTAAAGAAATCCATTTCTGATAAATGAAAATTTCAGGTCAGTTTAACACAGTTTCTATGCTGACTATTCAGATGAAAAGTGTATTTACTCTTCTTCAAATAGCACATATGCATTACATTGCCTATTTCACCTGCCTCATTTTCCTAATTAAAATTCCTTCAAGCTGCATTCCTGCAGTTGTAGGGGGGAATACAGTATTAAAGGCTAACATAGCAAGTAGACTAATTTTACAGCCACAACAGATCTCAAATCTGTATAACCCGTACTAAGAAAATAAAATTACAGTGGCATTCTTCATTACACCCTGAAAAACGAGAGTGATAAAATTTAAAAAAATGTTGGGGCCAAACTCTTTTCAGTGGTGCCCAGCAACAGGACAAGGGGCAATGGGCACAAACTGAAGCAGAGGAAGTTCCAGCTGAACATGAGGAAGAACTTCTTCCCTCTGAGGGTGATGGAGCCCTGGAACAGGCTGCCCAGGGAGGTTGTGGAGTCTCCTTCTCTGGAG